AGCATATGCATTTCCGCACACCCCTACCTAAACTGATGATTAACTTTGTAATCTTCTGCTGCCTTTTTCGCAATTCAGACTCACCGGAGCACTTTCCGCCTGGCTTCTGCTTTCACGTGGAACTGAGCTGATTCCCCACAGAGACATGCAGGCACGTAGTTTCTCAGAAGCCCCTGGTCTGGTGGCTGGAAGAGGCTAGTCTGTGGCACTGTCCATGTTGCACAAGGTCAACTAACCACAAGGGGTCAACTAAAAACCACACATATGTGTGTCGCATGTTTGTAGGTTTTCCCACATTAAAAAGAAAACTTCATTACAGAAAAATTTTTTTAGCTGTAAGTATAAAAATGACATATAATCCTACAGATCCAAGATAACTACTGTGAACATTTGGACACCATTTATTTTTTTTTCTTTTCGTTCTTTTGTACACAGTTCTTCAAGAGCGCCTTGGCTCAATTTTCCTAGGTTCTCATGTATTCTTCCTAGGTGCTCATTCTGCTTTTCCATTGAGCTTTTTCTCTCCATAACTTTTTTTGTAAATTTTCAAGCGTCCTAATGAGTTCTTTTTCTTGTTTTCGTGATGCATGATTCCTGATGAGGATATTTACTCTGCTTTGTAAAAGCATCAGCTTCTGTCACGGCTGTTGCTTCTCCTTCTTTCTTCCTCCTTCATTGGTTTTCTTTCTTTCACAGCGTCCTCCTTAAATGTAAGGTGACTCTTGGATGTCTACTCATCTTAGTGCCTGAAGTCCCTGTTGGCCTGCCTGGCCGTGCTGTTTCTATTTCTGCTGGTTACCCTGGGGTTGTGAAGAAGCAGAGGTTCTGCTGATTGTCATCAGGATTCAGGGCTTGCCCTCATGGCTGGCTCAAGTGTCTACACTGTTGCTCCAGCCCTGAGGCCAATGCTCCTCTTGCTGCCTTCTGCCCGCTTGCAGGGAATGATGAGGCCAACTTGCCCAGCTCCTCCAAATTCAATTCCCCTCCCAGGTAACCTCCTAGACATGCCTTAGGATCCCTCTCCTCCTTATACACATGACTGCTAACTTGGTGCATGCTAGTCCATGCCTCTTTTTACAGAGCCTCTCTTGAATACACTTTGGGCTGAGGTCTCTGTCCATCTGGTCCTTTCTGTTTTCTGTCTTTTAGTACCGCTTTCCCTTTCTGGACCATTGATGACACTCTTTCTTACCAATGCTGGTATGGATTTTTTAAAATCCTTCTGTTATTTCTAGGGATTTTTGGTGGAATAGAGCCCTCAAATAGCACTTAATTGAAACAGTTTTTTTGTTTCTATTATATAAAGCATCAGCACCTGTGTAGTTGGTTGTTAACAGCAGAGTCCTGAGTCAAGTATATGTGGATTTGAATCCCAGCTGTGCTTACTGTGTGACTTTAAGCAAGTTTCTTGATCTCTCTGAGCCTCTATTTATTGAATGGGATAATTGTTATTGTGAGGCTTCAGTGAGCACTCAGTCAAAGCACCTAGCACAGAGTAAGCACTCAGTGCTTAATCTTTAGTTATTTTTGTCATTGTTTTTGTTCCTATGTTTCCTGTTAAGCTAGGCCCAGTTACTGGTGGTGTGCAGAGAGCCCCTTTTCCATCCATCTCTTTTGGACAAAGAGTTTTGCCTCCCAGCCCTTCTCCCAGGTTCACCTAGAACCAGCAGCCTGACACCTTCCTATTGTCCCTACAGCCCAGCTCCAGCGGCTAGAAGGACTGAGGACCATCGGTGTCACCACCAATGGCATCAACCTAGCCCGACTGCTGCCTCAGCTTCAGAGAGCTGGTCTAAGTGCCATCAACATCAGCCTGGACACCCTGGTGCCAGCCAAATTTGAGTTCATCGTCCGCAGGAAAGGTGATCAGCCGATTTCCCTCCCAGGGCCCAGTAGCTGGGGAGGGTGGGCTGGTGCTAGGTGAGGTGCCTGGTTACTTCCTCTTGGTGTCTCGGCTATAAATAAGCTTATGCATTTGTTCTTGACTCCTCACCCTTGCCTAATGTCTGTCGAGGACTTTTTGGAATCAGATGCTAATGAGCTAGGGGTAACCTACCTCCCCTCCCTCCCAGTGTGCTCAGGACTATGGGACTTTCTAGAATGAAGAACTTTCTGTTTTCAAACCAAGACAGTCCCTGGCAGACTGGACCAAGTTGGTCATTCTATAATTAGCTCTGAAGAAATATGGGACAGCTCGGGATTGAAGGAGCCACCCTGAGGTGTCATGTCTGTGTGTGCATTGCAGTGGGTGACCCTCAGCAGTCCCCTATGGTTGTCCCTGTGCCTGCCCACATATAAGCTTCTGCTCTTCACTTCTGGCTGCAAGCACATCTACACCTTCCTCCTGCTTGGCTTCTTTGGGGAGGGCCGAGGTGGACAGGTTGAGCCGGTCTCGAGCTCCAAGTCTCATTAGCCCAGTGCCTGGCTTCTCTTGGGTCATAGGCCTCATGCTGGGGTGAAGGTTCTTCAGGGTTGAATACCCTTTGATTTGGGGGAGGGGGTGGTATATTACTGAAGACTCTGGAAGATCAGTGGGATGGCAGAGAGCCCCAGCTCTCCTTCCCCTTCTCTGGAAACAGTTTCAAGATCAGTCCACCATCCTTTCCTCCCTTTCCCTGGCATGTGACTCCCTGTTGTACCTTCCAGGAGCAGAGGAAGCACTCGCAGAGTCTCCCTCCTCTACAAAGGGTGGCTCCAAGTGCTATGGTGCAGGGGGTGATGAGGTGGAACAGAAGACACATAAGACATTGCCTCTGCTTTATAGGCTACTAAGGGCCAAAAGATGTAATTTCACAAGACCTTTGCTTGTCTCGTGGTTAATGAAAGTGCCACAAGGAGGCAGAGAGAACTTCTGGCAAGAGGGAACTGAGAGGGCTTCAAGGAGGAGTTATATATGCTGACCTTGAGGAACAGGAAGAATTTGGATCAAGTGAGTGTCCTCTGAGGAGGGAATGGGAGCAGAGAACCCACAAGGGCTTTGAGGTAGGGAAGTGGAAGGTGTACTTGTGTGCTGTACCCCCACATACACCTAACTCCCTTCTGCTAGTCTCTCCTTTGCTGGCCTGTAGATTGGAGATGGTGTATCCTGACGTCAGATCTTCCCTCTCATTCATACTCTTGTATCTACCACCTGCCTTTAGACAGGGAGTGCTTTATGAAGAAGAACACTTCTAATTCTAGATTATCCCAGCAGCATTTGTTCTAAGAGCTACATCCCTCCCTCTGCCCTCCCCACTGGGCAACCTGAAAATGCTGCAGTAAGCCCTGGAGGCCACCACCAGACATCCTCCCTCAGAGTGAGGTCCCAGTTATGACTCATGGGTCACCACCCAGGTTGTGTAAGCTGGGGACATGGGAGAGGGCCAGCACACAGTAGGTGCTCAAGTGATTGGATATGCAAGAGTGAGTAGGGCAGTGAGGAGAAGCCAGCCTGGGATCACATGACTATGGCTCATGATTGAGACAATAACACACGTAATAATTCCTGACCAGCCCTGGAATGGCACCTATACATATCAGGTGCTTGGAAGTATATGCTTAGTGAATAATGGATGGACCACTGAGGAAAAAACACTGACAAGGAAGTGTAAAACTACATTCTAGAAGATGGAGTGTGAGACTTTGAGCAGGGCATTGCCTCTCTCTGGGCCTCAGTTTCCCCATCTAGACTGGGAGAGGGTTCAACTAGATCAAGGGTCAACATACTATGGTCCATGGGCCAGATCTGGCACTCTGCTTAATTTTGTAAAGCCTTTGAGCCAAGGTTAGATTCCACAGGTAACATTCACAATTAATGAATGAATGATAGGGAACATTAACCAGAAACTTCAATTAAGTAAAACACTGTCTCCACAAAAAGAATTCCATTCTTCCATCCCATGTGCAGACCTGTATTAAACAAAATTATACTCCATTATTATTACCATATTTTGAATTCAGTCAGAAACCACTTTGTGAAATATACTTACATAGTATCCTCAGACTTCACCTCTTAGCTTGCAAAGCTTTAAAATATTCACTTTGTCCCATTAGAGAAAACATATGCCAACCTCCAGACTAGGTGGCCTCTGAGGCTCCCTATAGCTCCAGTGCTTGCCTGTGGGGTTTGGGGCAGGGGAAAGGGAGGAAGTTCCTGGATTCTTATCTCTTCTTCCATCACCACAGGCTTCCACAAAGTCATGGAGGGCATCCACAAGGCCATCGAGCTGGGCTACAACCCTGTTAAGGTGAGGATGTGCCCCTGCTGCTGACTTCTGACTTGTTCCTCCATGCTGGCTTAGCCCTCCTTTCCCAGCTCCCAGACCACACGACAACCCCCAGCCCCAGCCAGTGCAGTTGAAGTGTACCTCCCCACTGCTTCTTTTCCAGCTGCATCCAGCCCTGTTCACCCCCATAAGAAAAGTGAGAAAATCAGCAACCCCATGGAATCCCCCAACTTATGGAGAACTGAGTGGGGAGAGGCAAGGAATGATTCCCCAGTAGAAGGCATTGGCGGGTGCCAGACCCCCAAAGGACAGCCCCACACAATAATACAGGGGAGGCGGCCCTCATGGTCCCATTGTCTCCCTACCAGGTCAACTGTGTGGTGATGCGAGGCCTGAACGAGGACGAACTCCTGGACTTTGTGGCCTTTACTGAGGGACTCCCTCTAGACGTGCGCTTCATAGAGTACATGCCCTTTGATGGTCAGTGACACAGGGTGTGGCAGGGGAGGGAAAAGAGGCTGGACCTGTGGGATGGGCAAGGTCTGGCTCACCTTCTGGGTACTATTAGCCCCAGGGATGATGGGAGGGGCCTGGTAAGAGCTGGATCTGGGGTTATGGTGGGGCATTGGTGACTTCTCAGAGCCAGTGTGGGTGTGACTTGATCTACCTGTTTTAGATAGGGCCTAAAATCCATCTAGGAGGTTGGAGAACTGATTCCTAGGCTGTAGTGGGTGGTAGACTTGAAGACCCCAGAGCCCCTTCAACTCTGTGATTTAATAGCTCCTCCTGCCTCCCCCCAATCCAAACACAGGCAACAAGTGGAACTTCAAGAAGATGGTCAGCTACAAGGAGATGCTGGAAACTGTCCGGCAGCAGTGGCCAGAGCTGGAGAAGCTGCCAGAGGAGAAATCCAGCACAGCCAAGGTTAGGGAGCAGGAGGGTGGGCCTGGAAGCAAATCGTACCTCTATCCTAGGATGGAGAACTAGAAGGGAGCTGCATTCAGGTCAGAATGCAGTGGTGTGGGATGGCATAATTTAAGCAGGAAGCATCCCAGTGCCATCATAACTATCTCCTGTTTCATGAATGAATAAGTGGACTCAGCTAGGGCAGGGCAGGGGTATAAGTCACTTATCAGAGGACACGCTCTTCCACATGGCCTTCTCTGGATGTGCTGCCCATAGGATCCCTGTATCCTTGGCAGGTTTCTTCTAAGGCAGGCAAGGCACAGACAGAGAATTCATAGGCCATCCATCATACTAGAGTCTGCGGTCATCCAGGGGCCTTGGTGAACCTTCCCCAGAGCTCCTCTGGGAGAGGCTGAGGTGTGGGGGTTCTGATGTCAGGGCGCAAAAACCTGGGCTCAGGAATCCATCCCCATCTCCTCCACTGCCCTTTTCTTCCCACTCCCCAGGCCTTTAAAGTCCCTGGCTTCCGAGGTCAGATCAGCTTCATCACGTCAATGTCTGAGCACTTTTGTGGGACCTGCAACCGGCTGCGAATCACAGCTGATGGGAACCTCAAGGTGAATGTCCCTCCTCCATGAGGATCCCTTGCCACCTCTGTGTACCCATATCTCCCCACTCCCACATTCTCTAATTGGAGAGAAAGCTCAGAAGGCACATGGGGTGGTTGGTGCTATAGTGTTGGGTGTGAGGGGTGGACTGTGGGAGCAGCAGGTGAGTGTAAATTCATAGCCCCTTTGGAAATGTCATCCTGATTCATTCATTCCCCCCTTCCTCCATCCCATCCACCCTCTCTTCCATCCATCCTTCCATCCCAAAAGTAGCTTCTGGTTTATTAGAAGCCGCTTTCCAATACTTGGTGCTACCAGCGGATTAGGGGGAGCTGAAGGATCAAAGTGTACTTTGCTGGGCCTCCACCATGGTTGGTCCCCCTTCCACCAGCCCAGGGGCTCAGCTCAGAAACCAGAAATGTCACATCTATATTTGAGCACATACCCAGTGAACATGTCGTGTGTGTTCAGCCCTGTAGGGCTCTTAGGGCTGTACAAACTCTCCAGGAAGATCAAAGAAGGGTTACATGGCAGCATGTGAGTCCTTGTCAGATGTACAAATGGACAGGCACTGAGGGTGGTGGCCCTTCAGGAAGAGCACATGGACCTTGGTGAGCCTTGAAGAACAGATGGGGTAGGAGAAGTGAGGAGAGAAGGATGCATATTTGGGGTTTGTACTGGTGTGACTAGGGCAGATTAAAATCAGCTATGGAGAGACCACATTGTAGAGGCCTTTGGTTCAGAATGTGTTCTGTTGACAGTAGGATGCTGTAAGTCTCTGAACCCAGGGAGACATGATCCCCCATCCATGTTTTAGGAAAAACAACCCACAGGTTGAATGTGAAGATATGAGCACCAATTAGATGATCATTCAGTGATACTGCAGATAAGTAAGAGTGTGAAGTAAAGAGGTAGGAATACTCAAAGAACTTAGTAATGCTTGTGGAAGGAGGAGGGGAAGGTGTGAAGGTAGCTGGTAGGCCTTGTTATCTCCTTAGGATTTGGGAAGGGGCATGACAGGGGTTTGGGTTTACATGCCTCTAGCTTGACATTCAAAAGGAACCATCCAGGGGATTTTTCTGGGCTTGAGATATAGAGTTGACTTGGACTGTAGGTTGTATCTGGATCAGGCAGGGTTCCAGCAGGACATGCAAGTGGAAATCTGAAGAGAATGTAATGAAGAAGCCATTTATAATGTACAGGGTTAAGAGAACTAGTAAGGGATGTTGAGGCATTTGGGACAAGCAGCCTTAAACAGGTCTTCCCACCTAGGCAAGAAGGGCAAGGGGAGGCCGTGATGTCACTGGAGCCAGGGAGGGCTGGCGCCTTGGAGGGGAGGCCACCTGGTTATCAGTTAAGCAGTACGGGGCAACAGCTGCTGCCAGAGACATCAAAGCAGGGAGGAAGGAGGGGAGAAATACCTCCACCTTTCTTCTTCTCATCATCTGATATCCTAGACTGCAGCCAGCTAAAGGGAGTCCATAGCGGGTGGCTCCTCATGAGAGAAGGGTAGAGAGCAGAACCTGGGGCCTGGTTGGGGGACTGAGGAATGAGGTAACCAGCACAGTGAAGCAGTTATACCTTCTATCTCAGATTTCACTGGAGCCTCATCTTTTTAACAGTCTCTGCCCTCCAGGGCTCTCCAACAGTCTCCTGTCCCTGCACAGGGCCTTATATAAAGCCAGCACAGAGTAGGGTGCTACACTCTAAGGTTCTGTGGAAGGGTGGTAGATTTCTCAAGTTCTGAGGCTCCCTCATCTGTCCTTGAGCCCTCCTAGCCTTTCACAGAACTCTGAAGCTCTGAGTGACATTTGAATGACCTCAAGATATCATCTCCACCAAGCCTTGGCTGCTGAGCTACCAGGCGGGGATGACAGGCTCAAATAGGTGCAGGGACAGGCAGGAAATGTCCACAAGTGATGGGACCAAGAGGGGCATGAGGTGAAATGAGACGTGTGTTGTGTGCCATGTCAGGAGATCAGTGCTTCCGGAAACACATATTTCAACTGATTGGGGATCATTCTTATGGCAGTAAAGAGGCCAATCAATAGAATGTCTCAGGAGAAGGTACAGATATGGATTTTTTTTTTTTTTTTTTTTGAGTCAAAATCTCATTCTGTCACCCAGGCTGGAATGCAGTGGCACAACCTCTGCCACCACAGTCTCAACCTCCTGGGCTCAGGCAACACTTCTGCCTTGGCCTTCTGAGTAGCTGGAACTATAATTGCATGCCACCATATCTGGCTAATTTTTTTATTTATTGTAGAAATGAGATCTTGCCAAGTTGCCTGGGCTGGCCTTGAATTTCTGGGCTCAGGCACTCACCTCTGCCTCCCGAAGTGCTGGGATTTCAGGCGTGAGCCACATTACCCACCCAGATGTGGATATTTATGTACTATCTCTGTTGGCATCTACTTAATTTTTAAAAGTACACTGAAGGAAATGTGACTAACTCAGATGTAGACCTTGGGAAGTCTGATTTTTCATCTTGCTCTTCTAGCCTCTCTGACCTCCCTATGGCACCTCTGCTCTCAATACTGGGGGTCCCGCTGTGGAAGGCCTGAGTACTAGTGCTCTGCCCAGGGGGACTCCAGGGATGGAGGTTTGCTGCTTAGAGGTCGGGAGGCCACAGTTCAGGGATGAGGGAGGCATGTGGTCTTCCCCCCTTGTAGGTCTGCCTCTTTGGGAACTCTGAGGTATCTCTACGGGATCACCTGCGGGCAGGGGCCTCTGAACAGGAGCTGCTGAGAATCATTGGGGCTGCTGTGGACAGGAAGAAGCGGCAGCATGCAGGTAAGGGCAGGGTAGGTACAGCCAGGCTGGATGGGGAGTGGGCCATTGTCTGTGGAAGGGAAGCCCAGGGCTGTGGGAAGAGAGGACCAAGGAACACTTAGGAGGAAACTGGCAGGACTCAGTGTCATCCCCACCACCACTCACTCCTATTGGACCTCTGGACTTGGGGTGCAGTAATGCTTCTTCTATGGGAAAACTACCATAGCAGAGGCTGCATAGGAGAGGGGATCTCAAATTCTCTTGGGCTGTTTTGTTGGGTAGGGAGAAGGCTGTCATTGCTTCTCTCTCATCCCACTCATTACCTTCTGTTGGGGAGGGCAGGGTCCTGGACCACAGACTGTTCTCTGGGTTCTGTCATGAGTGACCTTGCAGTGTACCTTTGGGGACCTTTTGTCAGGAAACGTAGAGCTGAGTGCACGTGCATGGTGGCTGTCGGCCACCTTCATTTCGATGAACTCTCCTCTCCCCATCCTTTCTCTCCTTCCCTCCCTGCTTTCCTTTCCTTCCCTATCTTTCCCTTACCCCAGGCATGTTCAGTATTTCCCAGATGAAGAACCGGCCCATGATCCTCATCGGTGGGTGACCCATCAGTACGTAACCATTCCCTCTTGTCATTTGGAGATCCCGTGGGGTGGGGCCCCTGGCATAGGTACCCCCAGCTCCTGCATTTCATCCTGATGTTCTCATCCTTATTTTTCTTCTGCTCATCCTTCATCTTTTCTTGCCCCCTCCAGCCTTTACTGTAGCTTCTCTTCCTTGATCATGCTTCCCCTCATTGTACATATCTCCGAAATGATTATTCTTTCTTGCCAGAAATCAGGGCGGGGTCCTCCAGATTTAATGATCATTTAAGTTAGTGGTTCCCTGAGAGTTGAGCTCCCTGTTGAAATGGAGATCTTTTCCTCAGCTCTAGAGTCTCCCAGCTTGGATACAATGACAGGCAACTCTTGCCTCTGCAGTATAGACCTATCCATGTGTGTGTCTAGCCCCATTCATAGATCTGTTTGCCTCTGTGCTGGGCAGAACTTGAGGCAGCGAGCTAATGATGTAATTCACCTTTTCAGAGAGGAGGTGACCAGAATCTCAGCTTCTCAATTCCTTAACTCTTAGAAATGTCTGAGCCGGGCTCGGTGGCTCAGCTTGTAATCCCGCGCCTTTGGGAGGCTGAGGTGAGTGGATTGCCTGAGCCCGCGGGTTCGAGACCCGCCTGGGCAGCGAGACCTCATCTCTACAATAAATCAAAAAATCAGTCGGGCATGGTAGCGCATGCCTGTAATTCTGGCTACTCGGAAGGCTGAGGCGGAAGGATCGCCGGAGCCCAGCAGGTCAAGGCTGCGGTGGCCGGGAGCGGCCACTGCAGTCCAATCTGGGCAACCGAGTGAGACT